GCAGGATGGCTGTGAGTCAAGACCAGCCTATGCTATATGGCAAGCTCCAGGAAGTCAGTAAGGACTACACATAAGACCTTATATCAAAACAACAGCAATAAATAAAAGCCAGGTTCATCACAGCAGATGATATGGGTAGACTGCTGCCTGCCTTACTGCCCTACTTTGTTCTGAGGTGGCACCCAGTGACAGGTCTCTTACAGTTCATACTTAAGTGGACATGGGCAGGCAAGTCAAAGCCTCCACCCACAGGCTGTAACCTTGAGCAGGACTGGTTGCGGACAAACCATATATACCATATAAGAAGCAAAGTCACCTTCAGACTTCATCTGGAAGGTTCCCACGTCTGGGGGCCCTTGCAGGCAGTGTCAGGTTCTGGGGTGAGTAGTACTGCAGCAGGGCTGGCCTCCCCATTGATTTCCAGAAGTGGGCCCTCTCTGAACTGTCAACTACGTCTGAGAGCCCTCAGATCAAGGCTGGTCTGTGCTCATCCCCTGGCTGCACGTAAGCCTACCACTTCTTGGGCAGGCACTCACTGTCCAACAGGAGCTGAAGAGGTGCTCTCACAGGTCCAGACCTGTGCTATGACTGAGCACAGTGACACAGGGCATCAGAGGGCATGATCTCTGAGTGCCCAGGAGTCCCAGCAGGCGGATTGCTTCCTGATTTCCGCCGTGCTGCCCCTGTGGCGGCCACTATGCAAGCCCCGTCTCTAAGGCTCCTCAAAACTGCAGAGCCTGCACACCTGTGGGGGTTGGGGAACTTGGGGGAAGTGGTTAGTTGTAAAGCCATGGTCATGTGTTACACCTTGGTCAGGGGTACAGGGAAGCCTGATCTCTCAGGCTGTGTTCTGCTCCCTGGACAGCTCACCAGATCAAGTGTGGGCTCATTTAGCCCCTTGTACACTGTGGCATCTGGTCTTGTCCCCCAAGAGGCTTGTGGGAGAGGGAAAGGAAGAGCCACCTCCATCTACTGCTGTTGCTAGGAGCAGGAGCAAGGGGCAGGAAGGGATGGATCCCTTTCCTGTGTCCCATATGACTAGCTACTTTTTGAGTGCATGGTTCCCATTCTCTTGGATAGATGACATTTAAACCTACCACAGATTAGCAAGGTATGGTGGCCCACACCTTTACTTTCAGCACTTAAGAGGCAGAGGCAAGTAGATCCCTGTGAGTTTGAGGTCAGCCTGGTCTACAAAGTGAGTTCCAGAACAGCCAGGGGTATTACACAGAGAAACCCTGTCTCTAAAAACCAAAACCAACAACAAAAACCTAACCTACCACAGGCAGAGCAGTCCCTGAGTGAAAAGAAACAATAAAAAGTAGGTGTCAATCTCATCATTTGCACACACCTCCCCAAATGTGTCCATTTTTTCTAGAATATTCAACCCCATGATGAAGTTTAGCCCACATCCTCTTTTTCTGGACTTGTAGAACTCCTGATTCCTTTCTTTGATTTGGTTCATGGAAGCCCTAAAGTTTACCCTTCAAGGCTGTAGGATATGATGTGACAGCCACCTCCTGTGCCCAGAAGGACCTATACCCTTCTCAGCTCAGGGTTTTTAGGGTAGTTACCCCCTTAGCAAAGTCATGAAGTATCATCCACATGAAGATACTACCTCAGTCTTTTCCCCCCATTTGAGGTGAAGCAGTCTTAGATTCAGGAAGCAACCAACCATTCCCTTGTATTTTCTGAAGGAAAAAAAATAACTCTTTGGAGACAAGTAGCTAGAATCTGCAATACTAGTGGGGTACCCCTTAGAACAGAGGGGCCACAACCCTTCTTGAGAGTATTACAAACCTACTGCTGTATAGTCTGCCAGAGGGAGGGACGGAATAGTCTCCCCAGGCTAGGAGCAAAACTAGTGAGCACAATGTCTGCAAGCAGGTACCCTCGTCCTCTAGGCTGGAATTTCAGCAAGCTAGGGTCTTTCCCCACCTTGGACTGTTCTAGGAATAGTAGGAAGCCACCTGGGTCTCCCTTCACCCCCCGAAACACACACACACACACACATACACACACACACACACACACACACACACTCAACCATCCTCCCTCAGCCCATGCTGCTGTGCCCTGCAGCATCTAGGGCGTCAGAAGCCTGGGCGGGCAACAACATGCCCTTAGTTTCATGTTATGCAACAGCACCAGAAGCTAGCACCCTGCTTCCTAGAAAGCACCCTGATCACAGGTTCTGGACCTTCCCCTTAGGAAAGGGTCAGTTGGCCAACTAGAGGCAAAAATCAGAGCATGGGGAACCTCAGCCTCAGGCCTCTGAGGGACTGTCAGTGATCCCCACACCTGGGTCTTAGGAGATCTGTGTGCTCCCCCACAGCACCGGAACAAACACAGTGCTGTATGATTTTCAAGGCTCTAGCACTGTATGCCCCAGAACCTCACTTCTTAACCAAACAACCAGTGCTCCACCTACCTGGCTGCAGGAGTCTTGACTTCCCAGGACTGTTCAAGCACATCTGTATGGTGTGCTTGGCGCTCACCTACTTAGTGTAGGAACACCCTGATTTGAGCTCATGAGGCCTTGAAGAAACAATCAGAAACAACCATTGGATGAAAAGATTTTGGAGACCCTGTACCAAGCTTGTCCAGGAGAGGACGGAGTGAAGCCTTCCTGCTTCCTACTCAGCTCGCCTGGAAACCAAGGCATTGCAGAGGCCCCAGACCCTCAGCTGAGGACGTCATGCCTGGAGGGGATTGAGAAGGCTCCCTGTACATGAAACACCTGGGTGGGCCAGATCTGGGTGAGGGAGAGTAGCACAAAATCTGTCACTGAGTTGCCCTCCTCTTGGGCCCTCCTCTGCGAGATGCCAGCCCTCTCTGCCTTCTTTCCGAACATTGAAAACGCTGGAGAAAAAGGCTTCATCCACATGTGGTAGGTGTGGTTCAAGGCCAAAGAACGTCCCCAACTGGGATCTTTGGTAGTAAGTGACAAGACTGAGCCAACTCCCAACCCTCAGGCAAGAGCAAGGAGAAGAAGGGCTGGTGAGGCTGTACCTGGCACACCACACCTCCCTCGTGTAATCAATCCAGTTCTGAATGCCAGGAATGCTGGGAGACCACAGGGGAGGCTGTACCTGGGAGGATGAGGCACAGAGCAGGGAGCAGTAACAGCACTGCGTCCCCCACAAGCTCTCAGCAATGCACTGTGGAACTGAGGACTGCGATGTGCTCATCCACAGATCTGCCATGTGGCTGCAGGGCAGACCCAGCCTGCTGCTCCAACTTTTTCAGGATACCGTCTGTGCAAGTATCATGGGATGCTGGAACGGAATTCCACAAAGTGTATCAGTAACATCTGCAAAGACAGCATTTGAATCAAACCACACAGTTGTAGCCCATTTTACTGACAGTTCAACCCATAACACCCTCTATCGGCTCAGTCAATACATCAGAGACCAAGGCATGGACAAACCCTGACTTGTGGGCATGTTAGTGGGAGGCCCCAGTGAGGTAGCATTTGGAGTTAGTTGTCACTGTGATAAGGGGGTGAATGCCTCACTGTTGTCAGGGCTGCTGGTTTTCCTGTGACCTGTTCCACACATACTTCTTGGGGTTGCTGGGAGCTGTATGTGGACTTACAGAGCATGCTGAAGCCTGGGAGTTGGTTCCCAAACCTGGATCTCTGCTAAAGGAGGCAAATGACCAGCACAGCATGTAGACAATAGGTAAGGCCCAGATATCTAACCAGCATGCCTTGCTGAAGAGGCTTGTGCTGACTGAGGCAAGCTTCTCTCCCACTGGGGAGGCTTCCCACTGCAAGAGGCTTAGAATTTTAAACCTTAGTAATGGAGACAACTACTCCTTCTTCCTGGGGCTGCATGGGGCCCTGTGATTGTAACTGTGAGTCACAGCTGAAGAATGAGCTCGCACAGCTGTAAGGTGAGGGGACCTGTGAAGTGAGGGTCTCCAACTTCCTTCAGGGCAATGGCTCCTGAATGCCCAAAGCCCATTGACCCCACCTCAAAGGTGGGCTCAGAACTCTTCATGAGACTGGCAGTTCCCCTCAGATGGACCAGGTCATCCCTCACTAAGGGGGTTAGGAGATGCGCTTGGAGGATTGACCAAAGACCACACAATGGGTGGGTGGAAGCTGGTTCAGGAATCATGAGCCTTATCTATGCCTGGGAGGAGAGAGGTACAGAAGACTACAAATAAACTCTTACAAGTCCAAAGAACAGGCGAGTGGGCAGCCAGCAGGCACGTGTCCTCAGAGAGCCTCCCTACAGATGCCCTGTTTTCACACTTCCTTACAGAAGGACAAATGAGTACTCACAGCCACATCTAACCAGACAGAAGTGTGGGCCAGTCTCGGTTCTGTTGTCCACAGATGTCTCAGGAACTTGGTTTGCTCCTGTGTGAAGAAGAATGGAATGACTCCCTCCACCTACTGTGCCCTGAAATCCAGGGTGACTCAGTCCTATTTCCTCACTGTCTCCTACTCTGCAGACTCACCTTCTCATCCCCCATCAGCCCACAGATGCCAGGGAATGGTGTGTTACAGGGTAAAGCTCATTTCTGGCCAAACAGCCCTGCTACTCAGCCACAGGCACCCCCAAGTGGTGCTATGTCCACTACCCCACAGACTGTCCCACCGGACCCCTAAAGTCGTAAACATCCTCATAGACAATCTAAACAATCAGGGTTGTTCCAGTTGTCCGGGGCATGGATTAGAGGATGCTGCAAAGAATAGGGACTAGGCTTGTCCCAGTAGTTGGCTAGTCGCTGTCACCCAACCCTGAACTCTGCTCTTTCATCCATGGCAGGCCGATGGACAGCCCCCGCGGGGTCGGTGCGTGACCGCGGCCCGGGTCAGCCAAGTCCCGTGGGGCAGACACTGCCGACCACGCGGCGGGTTCCCCGCCCGCGCACCTGTCCCGGGAGTGGCTTCTCGGCCCCGCCCCGCCGTGCTCCGTTCTGGTTGGTCGAGGTAGTGCGCTATGCTAATGAACCTGACCCTTCTCGCACCTGCCGCCTGTGCTGCTCCCGGGCACAGTGCGGACGCTACAGCCCCTACAGCCCCTACCCCGCTGCAGGCTCCAGATCCTGCCACCTCTAGGGAGGAGACCATGCCGCGCTCCTTCCTGGTGAAAACGCACTCCAGTCACAGGGTCCCCAACTACGGGCAACTGGAGACACAGAGAGGTAGGGGCTGGCCGGATCTCCGTCTCCAGCTCTCTGTGCTGCGGGACAGGAGGCAACTGGGAAGTCCTTGGGAGCTGGGTCACACCTCTCCCAGGTGAGAGGGGAAGGGGTAAAGTTTTCCAGCATGATAGGGAACCAGGTTCCCTTCTGGGCTAAGACTGGAACTCCAAGTGGGATGTGCTTAGGGCAGCTTCTCTGTTTTCGGGAGACTTGGACCTTGAGGCTCTTCTCCTCCCTTGGAAGTTTCCTGAGCCCTGTGTCTCCCTGGAGCTCTCCCTGTGTACTGCCAACATTACAGCTCCAGCTAAGGAGACCCTGAAGGCCTCTCCGTGTAGGCCTGGAAGGGTCTAAATTTAAACATACGTTCCAGGCGCTGTATACACCCACCCAGGGAAGACCTCACTGACCACAAGCCATGAAATTTGTCCTACCCCCAGAGGGTGGCTGGTGAAAAAAGGCAGGACTCCCCCAGAGCATCCTACCTAGAGGTGGTGAGCTCACTGATAGAGCAAGCAGAACCTCTGGCGGCCTTCCCTCCTCCCAGAAACCCCCTTTCTCTCTCCTGGAGAAGTGATCAAGGCAGAGCCTCCACACACAGGCTCAGGTGTCCAACATTTCTGCTAGACTCAAGAGCTTGAGGTTTGAAGCATCTGGGACGAGAACCCTTAATCCTCAGAGGCAGTCTGCTGCCGTAGGTCAGAATCATCCCTACCCAGGAAAGACTCACTGGGGACTTGCCCAGTGCCTGGGGTACCTTGGGTCTCAGGGCTCAGGCCAGCACCCCTGACATATGTGAGTCTTACCCAGAACCCCAGTTGTAGGGAGAGGGGAGTTTCTTGAATCAGGCCCTATCACCCATGCTGCCACTAGAGGGTGCTACGTAGGACCCTGCTCTTCAGGGAACATTTTTAATTCAATTTAATGAGTCACCACCAGAAACTACTAGAGTGCCGTAAAAGCTTTCTTTTAGTTGGGTGGTGGGTCTCTTTACAGATGAGGTAAAACGTTCTATTTACAGTGAATGTAGTGTTTCTCTTGTACTGAGGATGCAATCAGTGCCCAATACGAGGCTTGACTACTGAACTGCTCATCTGGCCCCAAGCCATGGTTTTGCAAGTTTAAAACCTTAGGGTGCCCTCCTTCAGCACACCCCAGCTTAAAAGAGCAAACCAGGTGCCCTGCAGGGCTCTGGAAGGGGTTGCTCAGAACAGAACAGCCTTGATGCCCCTTAGAATTCCCTCTTGGTTTTCCCAGGACCCCATGGCCCCAGTGACTCTCTTCCTATCAGGATGTCACCCTAGAGTAGGACCTGAGGTGCTGAGGTTTGGGGCCCAGCCCTCCTCTTAAGTAAGTGCCTTTTGGGGGCCTCAGATTCCTTGAGCCAGGGTGCACTGAGGACCTCATCTCCCAGGACACCCCCGCCCCTCCAAATGGGTCCCTGTCCTCTGCTTGGGTCTCAGATTTGCCTGCAGACAGGACTCCAGTGAAACTTCCCAGGACGGTGGCCTCATTCTATTGTCCGGAACTCTATTGACAGTCTCTTAGCTCTCCCGCTCTCCTCCCCCAGCCAGAGTATTGTGGATTGTATATGCCGGCTATATAGTTAGGGAGAAATGTGTGAAAGAGCTCGGGTAGGGAGAGAGTAAATGGGTTTAGCTTTCTGGTTCTCCACATTCTTGTAGTATGGGGGGGGGTCTTAACATGGTTTTAGTTTACATTTTCTACTGTTCTAATGATACTGGGGTATTTTCTTGTGTGCTTATTGCCCACTTGTATATCCCTTTTAAAATGTTAGTCTTAAGCGCGGGGGTGGGGGGGTGGGGGGGGTTGGGGGTGTAGTGGCGCACAACTTTAATCCCAGCACTCGGGAGGTAGAGGCCAGCCTGGTCTACAGAGAGAGTTCCAGGACAGCCTCCAAAACAATACAGAGAAAACCTGTCTCCGAAAAAAAATATTAGTCTTTTGTTTTGTTTTTGTTTTTCAAGACAGGGTTTCTCTGTAGCTTTGGAGGCTGTCCTGGAACTCACTTTGTAGACCAGGCTGGCCTTGAACTCACAGAGATCCGCCTGCCTCTACCTCCCGAGTGCTGGGATTAAAGGTGTGCGCCACCAACGCCCGGCTAATATTAGTCTTTTTTAAATTAAGAAAACTATATTATTTATGGGTGGGTGTGGACGGGGGGGGGGTATCATGCAAGAGCTAGCTTTCCCCTTTTATCATATGGATTGGGGACAAAACTCAGGTTGTCAGAGTTGGCTGCAAGCGTGTTTACTTGCTGAGCCATCTTGTCAACCTCACTGTGTATTGTCTTTGGAAAAATAGATATTCCTATATCCCTCCCACTATTTTTAAGGGGGGATGTCCCATTATCCCAGGCTAACTTTGAACTCTGTGTAGCTGAGGATTACTTTCCCCTTCCGATCATCTTGCCTCCACTCCCCTAATTAGGATTACAAGTGTACAATGCACACCCAGTTTGGAGAAGGAGCCCAGAGTGCTAGGCAAGCACTCTACCACCGGAGCTATGGTCCCACCCTTCTGTACCTATTTTAAATTGTGCTACCAGACTTTTCGTCATGAAGCTGTAAGAACTTCTTTGTACATATACTAGTTTCTTTTTTTTTTTAATTTCATGTACTTTGGTTTGCCTGTATGAGGGTATTGGGTCCTTGGAACTGGAGTTACAGACAGTTGTGAGCTTCCATGTAGGTGCTGGAAATTGAACCCAGGTCCTCTGGAAGAGTAGCCAGTGCTCTTAAACACTGAGCCATCTCTCCAGCCCCCATATACTAGTTTCTAATTGAGTGTTTCATTTGGGAATATTCCCTCCCAACCCATGAACTGCCACTTCTGCCCAACACCTCGTCATCAAGGCAGAAACAAGGCTAGAGATTTGCCTGGCACATGTGGAAGAGGTGGCTGGAGGGCTGATTGGTGCTTCTGTCTTTGGGAATCCAAATTTTGCCTGGTCTCTTTGTGTGTGGGGAGAGATACGGCATTATTTGATTAACACATGAAATTCTGACCACAAATACAGGAGCCACAATCAAAAGACACACAAAGCCAGGACTAGATCTTATGCTGCCTGTTGGGCAGCTGCCAGCAGCTCCAGCCACTTTCCTGGCTGGTTGGACATGTTTGTGCATGTTGACAAGTAGCAAGTGCGTGCTGTCCCGTGGCCAGGGATGTGGCTGAGCACAGAGCATCATGACACACTCAAGGAGACGCCACAGGAGTGGGTGACCCTGTGGTGACTGGAGGCTAATTGCTGTGGGGGTGGGTGGCTGTTTTACCTTTTGTTCTGAGTTAATACTTCTGTGTAGGAGCCCAAGGGTGCTAACCCCAATTGCTGCCCACTATCCAGACATAGGACCAGCGCTCCTTAGACAAGCTTCCCAGACACAGACTCAGAGCAAGGACTCCTGTGAGGAGCTGATTCTTGGGGTGTCTTATGTAGCCTAGGCTGGCTCAGACTTGAAATCCTCCTGACTTAGTCTCCTGAGTGCTATGTTTGCAGGTGTGTACCGCCATGCCTGGCTATGCAGCTGCTTGTGTTCCTAAGCACTGGCGGCCCTGGAAGATACTTCCCTTTCCTCCTTTTAGACAAGGAAAGCCAGTCCACTTTCTAATGTGAGGACTTGTGTAGTTCATGCATTCCTCAGCTTCCACCTCCCATCATCACCACCTCGTAAAGGACCAGAACAGTGGGTGAAGATGAGAAAGCCTGACTGCTGTAGGTATGATGGGCTCACAGTAGGCGTTTGTAGCTCTGACTTCCTGCTGCCTGCTGATGACCTGTAAGATTGGCCAGACTGCAGTTAGATAAGTGAGCAGAGGTTTGTAAACCCAAGCATTGTGCCCTGATTCCTCACTATGTGTTCTCTCTCCCTTCCGCCCTTCTAGAAGCTGATGGGTCCTGCTCTGCCTGTGAGGAGCTGGCGGGATCCTGCCAGCGGCCTTTCTCTGCCAGTGACCCTCTGCAGCCCTGGGACAGCACCTCTGCCGTCACCTGCATCTCTCTGCCACTTCTGCCACGTCGTGAGGATGCTCTGGGAGCCTCTGGGCCAGAACCCCAGGAAACCAGCTGCACGGGCCCTCGGGCTGGCCAGGCCCCCAGTGTTCCCCTCAAAGACAGCTTCAATCTGCCCCCGCTGTTGGTGCTGCCCACACGGTGGCCGCCAATCCTGGGCCCAGATGGAGCTCTAGATAAACAACTAAGGGCTGAGGGAACATCTCGAGTCCCAGGTAGTTTTGAGTGCATCCACTGCCACAGACCCTACCATACACTGGCCGGCCTGGCCAGGCACCAGCAGCTGCACTGTCACCTGCCGGCTGGGCCCACCTTCACCTGCAGGTACTGTGACAAGGAGTATGCCAGCCTGGGTGCCCTCAAGATGCACATCCGCACCCACACACTGCCCTGCATCTGCAAGGTATGCGGCAAGGCCTTCTCCAGGCCCTGGCTGCTCCAGGGCCACATCCGCACCCATACAGGTAGGATGGGCAGGGCTGCAATCCCAGAAAAGGATCCAGGTTGGGGGAGGGGCTGGACCATGGGCAGAAGAAAGGAGAGGCTGGTCTCCACATTGGCAGGGTCCTGGCCTCTCCTGCAACTGCTGACAGACAGCCCCACAGATGGAGAGCACCACAGATATGTGCCCTCAAGGTCCTGAGGCCAGAAACCTGAAATTCAGGCGTGGCCAGGCCATATTCTTCCAGAAGACTGTAGGAATGACACTTCTTGCCTCTCTTATCTATCTCCTGGAAGCCACCCTACTCGTTGGCAATTGGCCACATATGTGTCTACCTCTGTCCTTCTAACACCTCCTCCCCATGTATCTGTATCTCCACTGTAAGGGGAGGGAGACCCCTGTAAGTCATAAAAATAGGCTCCACACAAATGACCTCAGCTTAACTCTGTCATCTTTGCAAAGGCCTCATTTCTGAGTAGGGTATCTGTCCGGAAGCATTTCTCTCTTGAAAGACCAGACTGAGGCCTGCAGGTCTCTAGTCGGGCCTATCTACCCACCTTTGGTGGCTTCAGGGCCAGCAAAGTGCTTGACGGTGAGGAAGCCTGGCCACTGTGGAGACCCCAGCAGAAAGGGCAGACTGTGGATCTGGAGAACCGTAACCAGATAGGATACAAATGCCCCTTGTGGACTACAGAACGAGGCAGACAACACTCAATGACCCCATCGCCTTCCATTTGGGAGGATTATCCTGGAAGCCAAGGTCCCAGCAGAAAGATTTTGTCCCAATCCTTAGTGGCCCTCATGGGCCAATATTATGGTAGCTCAATATTATGCTGGTCAGTGGCCAGGAAAGGCTGCCAGAGGCTCCCAGTACTTCTCCTGGTCACTGCCTTTGCCTCAGAAAGTCTCTGATACTGTGATCTTGCCCAGAGTGACATTCTGACTGTCCAAAGGGTTCTGACCTTGGGTGGTAGGACTGTGATGAGCCAGGGGCAAGTTATTCATTGACAGAAAGGACATTTCACCTTTGGCCACAGTCTGGGGTTTGTCCTAGCTGTGGTCCCTCACCTGACTTCTCATCTTCCCCCCTCAGGTGAGAAGCCCTACACTTGTCCTCACTGCAGCAGGGCCTTTGCTGACCGCTCTAACCTACGGGCTCATCTGCAGACCCACGCTGGTACCAAGAAGTACCGCTGTACTGTCTGCTCCAAAGCCTTCTCCCGAATGTCTCTCTTGGCGCGGCATGAGGAAGCTGGCTGCTGTCCTGGCCCCTAGAGGCACAGCAGTGTGGAGGGGCCAAGCCTGACAGTATTCTCAGTGGTTCTGTGTCATCCAGGGCAATCAGAGGAGGCAGGGGCCTAGCCCACTCTTGCCTGTGCCCATCAGAAGCAAGAAGCCCTGTGGAGCCTTTGGGCATCTTTCCCCAAGCCTACATTCAGTAGATTCACCACAAGACTCACCAAAACAAGAACCAACAGTTCTGTTTTCATCTTGGCCTGTCTGCTGGACCTATTCCAAAACAAGAGACACTACTGGGAAGTGACTGACACTGGACAAACCCCACCACAACACCAATGAGCCTAGCCAGCTGGGTTCCTTTGTGTGCAACTTGAAATGACCACTTTCACTTGAGGAGAGAGCCCTACGTGTGTATTACCTTGAGAAGCACAGCTACCCCTCGGCCAGTCTCACTTGCCTTTGCCCTGGGGTTGGAGACGCATTTTCTTCTGCCCCTGAGTGCACATGCATGTACAAACATGAACACACACACACCCTGGATCCTCCCCCAAAGATGAGGCAGGGTGGGGGAAGACTGGGCTGAAGCCAGGTCCTGCCGTGTCTGTGCCTCATCTCTGTCGTCCTGCTTGGAACTGGCCTCAGCAGCTCTTAACATCTCAGGAGAGCAGCTGTGGGGGTGACAAAGTCCTCCTGTCTTGAGCCTTGAAGTCTTGAGTCTTTACCAATACCCTGGATCTATGGAGAGGGAGACTTCTCTAGGGGCAATGGGATTCTGGATAAGCTGGGCCCTTCTGGGCATAAAGTAGACAGGACACCAAGTGAGGGCATTTTGCCAGAGCGTTTCAGAGCCCTGTGAGCAGGTGAGCCTGGGGCCTCCACTGGAAGAAATGGAACCTGAGAGAGGAGCTGCACGAGGTGGCTTGACCGGGAGAAATGAAGATGAGGGTACAAGTAACACCAGGGTTAAGGGCCCATGGAGGATGTGTGCATGGGACCAAGGCTGACAGCTGGGGCGTGACTGTGCAGCTGAGCAGTGTCCCGAGCACAGGACAGGACAGGATTGCTTCTTCCAGTATATATGACTGACTCTAGTTGGCATTTGGACAGAGAAAAGAGACTCACACAGTCCAGAGAGAAAATCCTTAGGAGCTTTTCTCTTTTTTCTTTTCTTTTTTTTTTTCATTTTTCAAGACAGGGTTTCTCTGTATTGCTTTGGAGCCTGTCCTGGCACTCACCTTATAGACCAGGGTAGCTTCGAACTTACAGAGATCCACCTGCTTCTGCCTCCCAACTGCTGGGATTAAAGGCATACACCACCACCGCCTGGCTAGAATTCTTGATGCATTTAGGTAAGAGGCCCAGGACAAGGGACATGACTCAGTATCCTTTGTCCAGGCCCAGTAGCAAAGGTTCCCAGCTTCTCCTGAGCTTCTGGAAGTCTTCTTGAAAGCCTATGAGTCATGCAAGTACCTTAGCCTCTGGTTTTGCAGCTGCTTCAGTCCAGACTGGTAGTGAGCATCTTGCTGTTGTTTGCTGGTGTGAGGATAGCTCTCTAAGAGGCCTTAGGGACTCCCAGAGGAAGCTTGACCTATTTGGAGAAAGTCTCAAACCGTCTCAGTCTATAACTCACACTGGCCTTGAGCTCATAGCAGTCTTCCTGCCTCAGTCTCCCAAGTGCTGGGATTATAGGCATCAGCACCATTCCTGGCTTAGAAACTTGACCTTGAGGTTTGGCTACTAGACCAGGAATAACCGCAAATGCATAAATACCACTCTAACTCCCATGAGCGAAATGGCTGCAGACGGACTGCACCAGACCTATGCCAGCGGGTGGAGGGACACACTTTTGAGACAGACATACTCATGTTTTCAGACCAAGACCACTGCCTCCCAGGGGAGTGGGGTGAGAACTGGACACAAGGGTGCCCTCTAATGGAAACGCACACACCAAAGGTTCTGGAGGCCAGAAGTCCCAGCTCAAAGGGACCTTCAAGGCAGGAGGTAGATGTTGTCCTTGGCTTGTAGGAGGAGTTCCTCCATTTCTGCCTCAGCCATCACACTGCCCCGTCCTTTGGGTCTCTCCAGAGTGACCTCATCTTCACATCTGCAAAGACCCACTTCTAAGATTGCATTCTAAAGTTCTAGGGGTTAGGACTTCAACATCCGAGAACATGTGTTTTGGCAAGTCACCTTCCCTGTGACTTGTCCTCACTCTTAGAGCAAGGCAAAGGGGTCTAAATGGTCCCTTCTCAAAATCTACACAGGACCATGGGATAGTCAATTACCTGAAATAGCCTCAAAGATTGGGTAGGAAACCCTTCTACCCACGCCTCTTCATTTCTCTGTCAAAGCAAAGGAAGGACTCTTGTCCCCAAATGTGTGGCCCTTCTGGAAGCAGGTCAAGACCCCCCAGGCAGAGGGACCCTCAGAACCCCAACCGACATGAGCCTGGATTCCTCACAGGAGTGTTCTTTTAAAATAGCATCCAGATGCCCAAAGGAAGCTATATTGTAGATTGTGTTCTATTTCTGGTTCCTCATGTCTAAATGGGGCTGTCGCACCTGTTGGATATGAAGCAGGGAATCTCACAGCCTAAAATAAAGTGGAATGTTTTCCCCCTTTGGTTCCAGCCCATGGAAAATGCTCTTGTATTTATATCTGGGCTGGTGGAAGGCTGAGGTAGCAGAGGGTGGGGTTGGCAGAAGGAGCACGAGGAGGGAACCTGCCAGGGGACTGATAGGGAATGAATGGAGGACACTTTCCACTTGGCAGGCCAGGCTGAAGTCAGGTCACAGTGGCTGAGCAGCCCTGCCTGCAGACACCTGTGCCTGCCCAACCAGCCTGGCACCCCATGGCTTCCTCCTTCGCTGTCCCTCCTTATTTCACACAGCAGAGCAAAGGGACTGGGGGTGTTTACTTCTCACTTGATTTCTGGGCCCAGTCCATTACCTGCAAAACGAGGGGCAGGAAGGGGGGTCCCATAACATGCTTGGCCAGCCTGTTTTCTGGGGGTTGTTTGCCTTTCCTGTCTGTTCCTCTTCAAAGTCCCCTTTCCTCCTCCTAAGGAGGGTCTTTTGAGAAAACTTCCAGGCATTGCATTTGAAGCCCTCTCCAAATCAGGAGACTTGGGCCCAGGAGAGTTGGAAAACAGGTGACTTAGTCAAGGCCCATTTGTGTCTATTGCAAGCAGAGGCTTGAAAGCTCAGTGATGGACAAGATAAATATATAAGCTATCACATCTATAAGCTGGCTGTTCTTCCAGGAGGGTGGGGCTTCTCCCAGGACAGGTACCTGCAGAGAGAACATCTCGGTCTGAGGGCCTCCACTGTTCTCCCACTCAGGCTTGGAAGCAAAGGCCATCCCTGGCTTTCTGGAAGCAGGTGTGTGGGGATAGCAGGCCTTTGGGTGACCCAGTGCTCCTCCCCACAGCCTGTTGAAGGAACCCTCTTCAGAAAGCCAAAGAGGCACTAAGGTTATGGCTTTTGCTTCCAAAAGCCCAGTGGATTCTATAAATATCATATTGGCCTGCAATATTCTAGGGGGTTCTCTAGATGCTTGAAATAGCCCACTTGTTACTATCTATACTCAGAGCATCCACTCCTGGCCACACCCACATGGCTAAGTATAGCTCACTGGCGGTGCTCGATGGAACACAAGTTTCCAGGCTGCCGTGACTGTGGAACATCCAAGGAGAGTGCATGGCTGCTGAGGCAAGCAGCCACACCCTTGCAGCCCAGTTCTGATCATCTGCTGAGTTAATCATATAGCTGCCTCCTCCATGTCTACAAGAACTGCTGGCGCTGGAGAGATGGCTTAACGGTTAAGACTGATACATCAGGCAACTTACAGCGTCTGTAACTCCAACTCCAGGGCTCCAATGCCCTCTTCTGGTCTCCATGAACACCCACACACATGTGGCATATAGACACACATGCATAAAAAAGTATCCTTAAAAAGAGAACCACGCGAAGTTCTATGTCAGAAGTAAGAGCACCAGGCATAAAGATCTTCAGCTACAGAATACATCTAAGGCCTGGGTTTAGTCTTGATTCTGAACTTTATATCTTATGTATGTGTCTCTGAACTGGGGACATGGTTTAGTGGTAGGAAACAGGCCTAGCATAACTGAAGACCCAGGGAAATAAAAGAAAGGGAAGTAAGAGAGGGAGGATAAATGGATTCTTAGGGCATTTAAAACACAGTATGACTGTACCTTAAACTGTTAGAATACAGTCCTGCCCCTTAAAGACAGTGGTCACTCTAACAGGCCAGATCCCATACCCGGAATAAATCAGGCTACATCCCCTGCAGCTCTCTTTGGGACAGAGTTAAGAAGTAGTCTGTTAGCTGGCACCAAATCTGCAAACACTCAGAGCTTAGCATCCTGTCATCTACGTGATAAAGCCTTTTTCCAGATGATGATCAAGCTAACACCCCAATGCAATGTCCTGGACCACTGTCCCATAATGATTAGTGGGGTTACAAAGATAACCCTGGTGAAGCACTCTGAAAGCCCATTGCAAGCGCTGGGTCATCATAGAAGTTCACGATTACTAAGATAGTAAGGTAAAACTTGAGCAAGGTCTAACAGCATGGTGACACTCCACCCATTAGACTCAGTCGCTTCCTCCATAGATCAAGGTTGGGTACAATTGCATGGATAGGAGGCACTAACTTCTTAGCTCTCCACAGTCCTCAGGCATTGTCTGAGCCCTTCTGCCTCTATTTGCTGAAACCATTCTGTGTGGCCTCCCTGTATTTCTCCACCCCTGATGAACTCAGTGGGGCTCAGCTCTAACCTGGGCTGAGTGGCCCTACCCACGCATTGCTCTCCCACGCATTGTTCTCTCCTGCTGCTCCTTCTGGGTCTAGAGGTTCTGCACCAGCACTGTGGCTGTAGCTGCAGCTGTTGCCTCCACCCACCACACCTGGCTACTGGAGGAGGTTGTGGCCTGGTAGACAGCCTTGACCCTTGTTCTGACTCTTTGCAGGAGAGATGTATACCCTGCTTAGTCAGGGGATAGAGAAATACCCACCCCTGGGATGGGCTTGCTCTTCTTCACCTGAACGGTTTTACCACGATGCTTCTATAAACTGCTCCTCATGTTCCAAAGCCTTCCAGTGGCTCCTTAGTACAGAATTTGTCTTTTTGTCAGTTTTTTTCCTTAGAACTCAGACAAATCTTGACTCATTTGCTCCGATTAATTCAGACCTCTCTCTCTCTCTCTCACACACACACACACACACTCACACACACACACACACTCACGCACACACACACACACACACACACACACACACACACACCTACCTCCTCTAGGCCACTCTCCCACTTGACTAACACCCTCTAGCCTAAGGGTTAGTTCATAACGATTCTATCTCATCAAGGGACCAGCAAAGCTCCAAGCCAGATTCAAGGTCCCTGCTGAATCCAGGTCTTCCTTAAGAATCAGTGAACACTCTCCTCTCAGGCCCTGTGTTCTGGATACCATACATTGCTTCCCTCATACCTGGTTCCCTAAGCTCTACCTAGCTCTATTCTCTATTGTCCTCTAGCCCTGATATCCACGAGGACCTCCATACTGATGACCAAGTGTCTTAGTTAGGGTTTCTATTGCTGCGATAAAACACTATGACCTGAAGCACCTTGGGAAGTAAAGGTTTTATTTGGCTTCAGAAGCCAAGGCAGGAACTCAAACCAGGCAGGCATTTGGAGGTTGGAACTGATTCAGAGGCCATGCCATGGAGGAGTGCAGCTTACTGGTTTTCCCCTTGTGATGGGGATGCCCCTCTGTGTGCTGTGAATATGTTTTATTACCATTGGTTAATAAAGAAGCTGATTTGCCCAAAGGCTAGGCAGAATTGAGCCAGGTGGGAAATCCAAACAGAGATAGGGAGAGAAAGAAGGGTGAGTTGGGGAGACACCATGAAGCCACCAGAGAAGCAAGATGTGAGGTAACAAGCCATGAGCATTGTGATAAAAAATAGACTAAGTGGGTTAATTTAATTGTGAGAGCTTGTCAGTAATCTGCCTGAACCATTGGCCAAATAATTATAGTTAATATTAAGCCTCTGAATGTTTATTCGGGACCTGGCAGGCAGGAGAGAAACCTCCATTTACATCCTTGTAGCTTGCTCAGCTTGCCTTCTAATAAAACCCAGGACCACCAGCCCAGGGGTGGCTCCACCCACAATGGAATTGCCCCTGCCCCCACCATCAATTGCTAATTAAGAAAATGTCCATAATTGGGTGTGTTAGCACACACCTTGAATCCCAGCACTCTGGAGGCAAAGGCAAACCAATCTCTGTGAGTTCAAGGCTAGCCTGGTCTACAGAGCAAGTTCCAGGACAGCCAGGGCTACAGAGAGAAGCCCTGTCTCGGAAAAAGAAGAGGAGGAGGTGAAAATACTGTAATGTTCTACAAGCTTGCCTGCCTTCAGCTCAATGGCTATAGCTCCCTCTTTTCATATGACTCTAGCTTGCGTCAGGTTGACACAAAACTATCTCTAACGTCTCCTATGAGTCAGTCCATCAGGGACAGAGTCCTCATGTGCAGCCTCGGGCATGCAGCTGGGTTTCGGGGATGAATGCGTGCTTACACTCTCACTTTCCTGCTTCTTCTTCTCACACTGATCCCACCTGCCCCGTAGCCCACAGCCTCACAAGCAGACTGCGAGATTCTTCTGTTACCTGTTTAAAGCTGTCCCCTAATGCAGCAGTCCCCGCACTGAATACTCTCTCATTACCGTGACCTCCCACATCAGACCTTTGCTAAGACCCTGTGTCTGTGCACACTGGATAGGAGCCTTTCCCTTTCTTTATGGAAGGTAGTGCTTGAAGGGCATCTTCTGTGGTCTCTATTTCCCTCTTCCTCTTCATCACCTGACTCCTCCGGTGAGTCCAGGCTGCAGGGTCCCAGGAGGGGCTTTTTATTGCAGTCTTCGAGTTAGGTTTCCTTTTCCCTTCGGCCTTCAAGCTCTGAGAAAAGGCCAGCTAACCCTGCATCTCCCCTCTCTTTTATCCAGCTTACTTTCTAGATTAGAGGCCAACACAGAGGGCGTGAGCTGGCCGTGACTTACTCCCTTTGCCCTGCAGTCTCCCTGCCTCTGGGCTGCCACCACAGCCTCAGATAGACCTTGTGTTACCCATAGCAGTGGCCAGGCTGCATCTGCAGCTGCTCCCTGACATCCCTGCCCCGGGGTTTGGGACGTCTGCTCCAGAACTTCGGCTGTTCTCAAAGCATCTCTATACTCCCTGGCAAACTCCATCCGTCAAACACTCATGCCACTTCATACCACCTAGATAAAACTGCTGTCACCACATTTCTCCCACAGATGCCCCCACTTAGGTGGCGTCACCTTATATGTCTCACTGCCCTCTGCACTGTACCGAAAGGCATATAACCACATGCCACATGGGATTGAAGGTCATGTCAGAATTTCCTCTTCACATGATCTGGTTTTGTTTTGGTTTTTGGGAGAGCGGGGTTCAAGACAAGGTTTCTCTGTGTAGCCCTGGCTTTCCTGAAACTCACTCTGTAGACCAGGCTGGCCTGGAACTCACAGAGATCCTCCTGCCTCTGCCTCTGAAGTGCTGGGATTAAAGGCACGCCATGTCGTCACCCCCAC